GATGTTGCTAGATCTCACACTGCGAATTTTTTCTAAGCTCTATACTAAACATTAAATCTGTTACGAAAAAAGACCTAAACAAACGATCAGCTTTAAAAAAGGTCTCGTAACTGGAAGAACCGAATGAAAAAAGAATGTTAACAACAAATACTTTTTCACACCCAACCCAGTTCTGCGGAATCAGAATCAACGTTAAGTTTAAGCAAGCGAATGAGCCAATTGGAGTAAAGTGCCATGCAGATTTAAATTTTTCCCATTTGTGACGAATGCAGCTATCGATTTTTTTTTTGCATGCTAGCATACTACTTAACATTCGTGTCAGTCAGCTGTTGGCTCTCACGCTGGCCAATCGAATCTTCCTGCCTATTTGTGGCAGCCAGCTATAGGCTTTCACTCTGGCCAGTAGAAAATGGCCGCAAACTACATGAAAACTGCCGTAGAAGCATGAAAAAATCGTTTATTTCCACTATCGATGGGAGTTGGGAAATGCAAAGTCGTTCTTGGCCTTTCCACTAACTTGGAGCATGGGCATGTAAATTTTGGTGCAAATGAGTCGAAAATTGCGGCCGTGCATTCGTTACACACGCACACACACACACACACACACACACACACACATCCTGCTTTTATAGATAGAGATTACTTGCAATTGCATATATGAGTCCCAGTATAAATAGTTATAATTAATTTTTGACCGATTTTATCACTTTGATATATTTGCATGATATCAAATATTAAGAATATAATAACTAGGGTCCGCAAATTGGAGGAGAGAATTATCAATGATAATGTTCTGAGTTCTAATCCGCAGTTATCTTCCTTTGACCCTCTATCGGTTCTTTTCAATGTACTTTTTATCACATAAAATTTGCTGAGGCGCGAGCAAATGTTCATTCCAAAAATGCAGCCCAGAAAAAAAAATATTTTCGAACACTAAAAAAAAAAAAAATATCTCGCTTACGATAACGGCTGTTACCAAATTTGCCCCATTTAAGAACTGAGCAAGCTCATAGCTGCTTAACTTGCGCGTTCAAATGAATACCAGTACTTTCCACAGGATTTTACCGTAAACCCTAAAATTAGCTGTGGTTAAAGCCCAGTTTGTTGACCTAGCTATGAATTTTTTTTAAAATATATTTTAGAGTTTTAGAAACATCTGGAAACGTCTATCTGTCAGTGTTTAACACGTTCACTGCTCACAACGCACATGTGGTGTTGTTTCCATCAATAATTTATATATTACTACTATCCTTCTGTTACAAATGTCTAAAAAGACACCCTACAGTAACTGCCACCAAGGAGATTTAATTCCGTATTTTTTTTTTATTTTTACATTCCTTCCGTGGACAAAAGCTGTGAAATCTTGTCTGCGTCCTGTACTTAACACAGCTACACTACCTTTTTACCTATTATTTTACATATGCGTCATACGGCAATCATTTACTTCACAATTGTCTCTAGTTCTTTGACACGTTACATTTTTGCGAGAAATAAAATAATTTTTCATGCCGCAGATTGTAGAGAATTCAGCATACGAAAAGATATCAGGAATATATTATTATGGAAATCTCTCATTATCCTGTTCCATCCATTTAATACATGCGGTGCATCGTAGAATTTTATTTTAAACATCGTTTTAGGAATCCCATTTGCACACACCACCAGTAAAATAGCAGTTTACGACAAATCATGAAAACGGACATTTTCTTTTCTTTCTTTCTTTTCTGGCATAAAAAAATATTGAATTTTCGATAAAATTATCCTATGAAACAGATGTGAAGAAAGGGTCTGGAAAATTGTAGGGTATATAAAAAACAATATTTCTTTATTTGAAATACTATAAGAGAGGCTTTCAGAAAAATGATGAGACATGGCGCATTTTCAATCGATGGTGAGATAAGAAAAGTTGTTTATTGATTATAACGCCTTTCACATAGCATCCATCCATATTTATAAAATTCTACTTTGCTTCAACGCACTTGCTGAGAGCTATCTTGTAAATGCTATCAGTGCGCCGTCATCAGAGGAGTGTCTGCCTCCCATTTTTAACTACATCGAGAGGAAGCAATACAAATCATATGATACTAGGTCAGGAAAAGGCATAGGAAATCATCTAGTAAACAAAAGAAACTGTTTCTGTTGATTTAACCTGGAAGTTAACGTATTTAACGGCATATAAGACGCACAAGTGTATAAGACGCACCCAAAATTCAGCAGAAAAAATAGTAATTAGTGAAATGTGTAAAACTATTAGTAAATGGTAAGCTTAGGCTATATTTATGAGGTATTATTTTAGTTAAACATGCCATAACTACAATTAAATAAATAAAAGGAAAGAACACAGGCCTATAAAAAACTTTATTATATCCAAAGGTACAAAAACAAAATAAAAATCACGCAATTATTACAATTGAGCAAAACAGTAAAGTTACCATTAAAATTTTATTCATCTTCAAATCCGTAAAATTCATCGTCTTCGTTATCAAAAAATCTGATACTCATTTTCAATACTGCAATCATCGACGTGAAATAATGCGTCATCTTCCGGTCTATTAAGAAAATTGCTAATCCCACACTTTTTAAAAGATTTCACAATTTCTGGTTAATATTATCCCAATCTTGCTTCACCCATTCGCAGACTTGTGCAACGGTGGGTCTTTTTATTCTTCCTGTAAGTGTAAGGTCGTAATCAGGCATTGCCATCCATGCGTTCCATTGTTCCTTCATATTTAAGTCTAAGCTAATAGGAGTTGCCAGGTAGCTAATTTCGGCCGACTATCGCGAATTTTAAAACTACATGTGGCATTTAAGACGCAGGGGAATTTTAAAAGATATTTTTAGTAAAAAAAAAAGTGCGCCTTAAATGCTGTCAAATACGATAATTCATTGGCTTTGTCCGCACACCTTTGTCGAATATAAAACGTCTTATAGGATCTTAGTTGTTTTCTATTGTTTCAAAAGTAAAGATGCGTACAGTATATTAGATTTGATTATACAATGCAATGTTTTATTTACATTATTTATACGCGGATTATTGCCCCCATCTTTTTTGTTTTTATTACGTTTTGGCCGTTGTACCCCCCGGCCTTCATCAATGTTTTCACGGTAAGATTGGTATTAATCGATTGATGTTAGTAAAAAATCATTCGGGATATATTTATATGATAAATGGATAATGTGAATATATAAATTCCTACAAAGAAAACTTAGAATCAGAAAGAGAGCTCTTGAAGGAACATAAGGAAAGAGAACTTGGAGAATATAACAATCACAAGGCATACAAGAAGAGAAGTGGAAAACAGCTAATAACATACTTCAAGTGGCAGTTGAGGTTTCTGGGGCACGTAATGAGGAAGGAGGGCATGGAAAATCTGATACTCACAGGGCAGACTGCGGGAAAGAAAAACAGAGGAAAGCAGCGCGTAACTTACTTGATTGGCTTGAGAAAATGGATACAGAACTGGACTTGTGAGAAATAAGAAAACGACAAAACTTATTAAGAGCTACAAAAGACAGGAAGATCTAGTGGACCATGATCGCATACGTCATGAAGGGAGACGGCACAGAAGAACAAGTTTGTGTACATGGATGGCAGCGCGGGTGCAAAGATGGTGAGATAAAGAATTCAAATTTGCTTAAGGCTAAAAGAAACAGGAAGTTGACAGCCATGTTCACATCGTGCCTGGAGGCAGACGACATATAAGAGTAAATAATCTTATGTGGTGTATGTTTGCTTAGATTTGTAAAAATGAAAGCATTTATTGTTTTATTTTTTAGATCAAATTTATAAATAGTACCTTTTCTATATTCTTACATTATCGTTGCTGTTTTAATATTTCGTTGATGCTAGTATTACTTGTTTCATCGTAGAAATAAGTACCTCTAATCGCTTACTGATAACACCCGTATCAACAACCTGGTATTTAAGAACTTCTTCATATTATATAAACAACTTATATGCGAGTAAAAGAAAGTCAAGTGGTGAAACGGGCTTTCAACGTTTTTAGAATAACGGGTGGTCTAAAAGCAGAATAAAAAAAGCAAATACATTTAATTTATAAACAGAATTAGTTTTGTTTATACACGCATGCGCGTTTATAGACTTGTATTTGATCCTCCGTCATGTTTGTCAAGAGACATACTCAATCTTTTTTTTTTTTTTAACGTAATATAATATTTACATTCATTCAGCTTTTTTTCTTTTTTTGGTTTTTGTTTTTGACTCTCGCACAAATGAACTATTTTTCTCTATTTGTTTATTCATCGACTGGAATTCATTCCAGCCTTTGTGAGATAGAGTTTTTACTTTCGACTTGCTTTAAAATGAGTCGGAAAAGAAAGCGTTCCTATTGCAAGGTTATTAAGAGTAAAAAGACCAGCTGCGATGCTTTTCCTTCTCAGAGCGAATAATATAATGGTGCAAAAAAAGGAGAATTTAGTATGATTTATTGTTTTATGCTAACCTGTCAAACATTTAAGAAGGTTGTTCTATTTGAAGTACAATTGAACAAAAATATCCATTGTTAACAGACACATCTTATACGAGTAAAATACCCCCAAAACGTATTTATTTTTCACTAATAATAAAAATATAAATTCTTTGCTATATATCAATTTTTTTCTCGAAAAGTCTATCCTTGTCCGTGTACGATCTGAACTAGTTTATGTTAAAATTTCTGAGATGAAGCTTTGTTAGCTTAATCAATGATTATTTCATACTATGATTGATTTATTCGTTTTCTACGTTTTTTCAACCCTTTGCATGTTATTTAAAGACAGAAAATATACTTAGATAGCAAGATGTTTTTTTAGAGATAATAATGGCTTAGTGATGCAAATCTTATTAATTAACCCATAACTGGGGAAGAAGAGATGGATTCATACACTTCTTAAGGGTATTTGCGAGTAAGAGAATATAACGAACCCAACGAGAATTGGAACTCGGTAATCCGATTAACAATTCCATGCCATTATCCATTACACCACCCGCACATCCAAACTTACAGCACCTGGTATTCCCAAGCAGTTATACATCAAGGCACTGACCAGGTTTCACGTTGCTTAACTTCGGTGATCGCATGGGAATCTGTGTTCCAACCTGATGTGGTCGTAAGCCATTTTATCGGACTATATTCCTATGTTGACTTTATCAGAACGCTTCATATTTTTTTTATTTTTGAGATCAAGTGTTGTTATCTTATACAGTTATCCTTTCAGACTAGTTTTATCGTCTAATCTCAAGTCCAGAATAGAAGTGTAGATTGGAATAAAAGCGTAGATTGGAAAATTTCTTAAAATTTATGTTTTTGAAACAAAAACAAAAAAAACACGGAGGAAAACGTGTTTGCAATAAACTGACAGGTTGAAATGAATAGAAAAATTTGGGAAAGAAAGTAGAAAATAAAATAAAGTTGGTGTCTGAAATAACAGTGGGTAAGTTAGAAAAAAAAAATTTCAAATACCCGGACATGCCCTTCCATTGTGGACGTGCGAGTGTATCGTCTTCCTCACGACGCTTCGATCGCTGTACCATCACGCCTTCTTCTTAATTGTATTTTGAGACGATGTGACGTTGTTACAAGAATACAGTCATTCGTTCACGAAAGGCTCTACGACTATCTTATCTTTATGACAAGTGCCTTGTCACGCCTTTCCAGTGTCAGTCGTATTTGGTGGCCTTCAAGAAATGCTGAACTGAATCCTTTAATTTTCCTTGTCCAGTTTCCCTACGAGATTATTACTGAATTAGTAAACGTCATTTATACAGTACACAATCGTATGAATAATAATAATAATAATAATTCTGTGTGTGCCTTCGTTTATTAATTAGCACATATACTACACATTGTTAATAGGCTGCCCATCGTCTACGCACAAATTTAGCTTGCCCGTCTCCTGCTCTCAAATACTTGGTATGTCAATAACGAAAATATTAAATTTCAAATCCTTTTTTTTTTTTTTGTTTCTGCTAACTCGCATTCTGGGTTGCGTTACAGCTGTATATATTTTTAAAGAAATCGAAGATAGAATCTGCGATAACGTCCTCGTGCTTTTAATATCTGCTATGGAAAGTTATAATAATAATGAAACATACCAACCAGAAATGATTATTTTCCGTAATAAAAATTAGCAAAATCCGTGTAATTTCCCCAGCTCCGGCTCCACATGAATGAATTAAAGTGATACCATAAAAACATATATGAAAAAGTGTAATAACGTGATATATACTACACCTTTGACTACACACAATGAAACATGACTCATTGAACATGTTAGTATTTCATATGTCCATTCCACAAAGTCTTTCCTTGCAGACTGACCACAAATTCTCGATTGGATTTAAATCAGGAGAGTTTCCGAGCCAGTCGATAGTACTTTGATTTGCTCACTGGTAAGGATTGTCATTGTGTTCGTACAGCGTTATTTTTCCTTGGAGTAATGTCCATCGCAGACAATGGCCATAGGACAACTAATCGACAGTCGAGATAATAGTGTCTGGGCGTGATGAAATTCTGATGAAGTAAGAAATATTCATGACATCCTACATATCTGTTCATATACAGCACATGTACGGGCGTACACACATACATAAGAACGCACAGACAATTAAGAAGAAAACATTTTAAAAATCAACCTGACACCAATAAACAGCGTGTAGATTTTTTTTAAGTTAATATAAAAAAAAGAATATATGTAACAATTGCTGATAACTCTTAACAAGTGGACCGAATGATTACACAATCGTTCATCTACGATTCTCTGGCCTCGGAGTGCTGAATATAACATCAATCAGCTCAATGACAAATTTATATTTGTATTAATATATATATATATATATATATATATATATATATATATATATATATATATATATATATATATTCTCATTCACAGGGATTCAAAAATAAAATGTCAAACATTAAGGTGTTTGTGCAAATATAAAATGAGGCAAATATTACTGCGACAACTGAATTGTACGAAAGATAATTAAGTATTCGTTGCTGAGGTTCCGTTTTCGAACCCGGGTAAAAACCAGTATTTCAAAAGCCTCTTTTGAAAAGTAGAAGCACGGTGGAGTATGGGTTAGCGGCTCGGATTGAGAAATCGAAGAGTCGAGTTCGAATTCCAGTTGAATCCTTTACAATCACTTACGTTCTAATACCGCTGGGAAAGGTATGAATCACCTTCTTCTCCCCTCTATGGGTAAATAGCAGGACAGATTCTATAGCAACTGGTCAACCGCAGAAAGAAATGGCAACTTACTGCGTTAAAAAGTCTGCCTCGTTGGTCATTTATCGAAAGATACATAATCGCCTATGCGTGTACCGCGCATGGCATATACACTTATTTTGAAAGCATGCTAGCCATTAAAAGATTGGCTAAACACAGTCTTCTCATCACCAGTTCCCATTTATTCCCACATCTCGACCTCTGCTGCGCGTGTTTTAGCTAACATCCAGAATATACAAATAGTGCTGAAATGTTCTCTGCCTAAAAAATACGTTTCTCCAAAAAGAATTATGAATTTTCGCAATTTTGGTGATAAATGGGTCGAACCTAATTATGTTTTCACTTCTCTCCCCCTGTATGTTTAGTGTCTTAATCCTGAGTGTTATATGTTTCCCATGGCTGCCAGAATGCAATATTTGAATGATGATTTTTTTCTGAATATAGCAAAAAGATATTTCTACCTTTCAACCCGTATTTCCTACTCGCCATGTTGGCAATTTTAATACGGACAAGATGAATATGTGAATGACTATGAAGACGAAGATGATAATAAGATGTAACTGAAGAGAAATAACGATATAAAAATTAATTTCTACGTCGGCAATTACTCGAATACGCCTGTTTGAAAGCCTTCCTTGGAAGAAGTAATAACAAAGAATGATTTCTGTGCAGCAAAAAATGTAACAAATAGAATGTTTACTTTCTGAAGCAAACGTTTCTATTCATGAAGGTATGAGCGATCTGTGGGTAAGAATGCGCAAAAAGAATTCATTTTCTTGTTCGTGCAAATGTTTAGCGTCCTTGCGTGAAACGAGTAAAAACTCGTGCGGCATGTTTAAAAGCAAAAACAAAAAATAAAATAAAACGAATTATCAACAACAATTGAGAGAAAGACGATATATTGTTTCATTTTCTTTATATTCTTTTTTTATTCTTATTTTGTTTCTTTAGGGCCAAAATCCTATGAAAATAGTTTGTTGTTAAATACGAGGGAGTAAAGACAAGTTCTGAGAATGGAAATAAAATAAAAAAGGAAAGTAGAAGAAAAAAAATGCGTATTTGCTTTGCAACAATCTATGCAGGAATTTCTTGAAGCTGGAGAATTGTCTTGGAAATAAGACACATGGTTACCAAACGCCTTTGGGAATGTACCTCTCACTGCAATTCATTCAAGCCACGTATTTTTTTCCTTTAGATATCTTTAGCAAACGGTACCCGAGTCATAAAAATACATCATACTGAACACAGTTTTTGTTTTAATATTCGCCTTATGTGTCGGGAAATGTAATTACACTGATGTTTTTCATCTGTAATAATCTGTTGAAAAGAAAACTCCATTGCAGATGGAGTAAGATAAGCTCCTAAATGAACCACCTTGTTGGTATATACCGACCCAGGATAACTCCTCCCAGTGTTTACATGTGGACTAGGATATAAACTCAACAATTATTTACCTACAGGCTCAAGAATAAACTCGACTAATAGTTACCTAGAGTCTCAAGTATAAACCCGTCCATGGTTTATATATAGATTGTATTATTATAAAAAAAACAACTGATTTCGATATGAAATTGCTCATGAAGTGTTGGTATGTCGTAAAATCCACTTGTAATATTACCGTACGGAACTAATGAAAACACGAAACGCGATCTCAACGTAATATTGCACTATTAATCTCCGTCAATTATCGCCGGCTTGTTTGTGCGTGTACACCCCCGCCTCCGAACCTCTCCGAACATACACTACATTCTTGTGTGGAGATGTAAGAGACCATTTTCCGATCGTAGAAGTGTGTATACACACACACACACATGTATATATATATATATATATATATATATATATATATATAGAGAGAGAGAGAGAGAGAGAGAAGTGTTAATATAAACTAAATAAGGAGATATTATCAACTGTATATGCGTGCGATACCGTGCATACACATATAAGCAAATAAATACTTAATTTAATGTGCAAGCAAAACAGAGCTCAATGTTGCTAAACAGAGCTATGAAGTATATATTAATAAATACACACACACATATATATATATATATATATATATATATGTGTGTGTGTGAAAAAATGTATATAAATATAAATAAATATATATATGTATAATTATTTATATATTATATACGCGGTACTTATTAAAAGCGCTCAATATCAGAGATATTTAATATATATATATATATATATATATATATATATATATATAGAGAGAGAGAGAGAGAGAGAGAGAGAGAGAGAGTTATCGCAATTTTCCCGATGGGTGCACATCCTAGACACAGCTGGGTCGATCACGTCTTTAGTTGTTGAACTCGGCCACAGACAATGAAGTACGGATCAGCACTTGGTGGTTATGAGGAGATTTCTCACGTCAAATTGAAGATACTGTTAGCTCAAGGCTGTTAACCGCGAGCACAGACAACTTATGTGCTGCGTATCAGCACTTGGTAGCGATGAGGTCATATCACAGGTCAAACTACTGATGCTCATAAATCATAGCTGTTGAACTCGGTCACAGAAATCCTATGAGGTGTGGATCAGCACTTGGTGGCTATGGTCATTTCTCAGCTCAAACTGCTGATGCTCCTATCTCCTCTGCTTCTGAGTGCGGATCAGCACTTTGTGTCTATGGTCATTTTTCATTTCAAAACGCCAATGTATCTACTTTCTAAACTCACGAAGTACAATGTTGTTACTGGCACCATCTGTGGTCAGTCGCATGCTTCATAACAACGTACCTTTCCCGTGGTTTTCAGTTAATCCATCTATTACTTCCATCTATTTATGCAATCTTGTCAAGTCGGCTACTAGTTTCATTTCTCTGTTTGCTTACGATGAGCTCTGTGAGCGATAAATTCTCCAGGCGCCCCTACTTCA